GGTGAGGGGGCCCTGTCACTGGGCCCCTCATTGTGGCAGCTGGACCGGACCCTGTTACTGGGTCCCTCATCACGGGGGCCACGGGCCCTGTCCCCTGGCTCCTCATCGTGCGGGCTCCAGAACGGGCCTTGTCACTGGGCCCCTCTCATCATGGGGGCGTCAAGCCAAGTCCTTCATGGTGGGGATGCCAAGCCCAGGCCTGTCACTGGGCCCCTCATCACGTGGTGCCCTGTGTGCTGTCCCTGCTCTTGGGGACGCTCTGCTAGGGCCTGTCAGCAGGTGCCTCGTTGCAGGGTGGCCCAGGCCTGGTGTCCCCACAAGCCCCTCACCGTGGGGAGCAGCCCTGCACCAGCCCTTGGCCCCGTTCCTGCTTCCCAGACACTTTATCCCTCCTCCAGCTTCCAGTCCCAGCCTCCTGGGCTCCTTCCCTGCTCCCAGTGATGCTCTCTGAGCCCCCAGCATTTCCCTTCCCGCTGATCCCCATGTTCTTCCCGCTGGGATTGCTGGGGAGGGTGCCCCAGGGATCTGGCAGGGCCCCGTGTGCAGCTCCATGGTGAGTCACGATGATAAATGTCAGTGTAAGATCACGCAGGCAGCGCGGGTGGTCCCGATGCTGCTCCGCCATTCCACGCTCCGGAGCAGGGAGCGTTGGGCTCATGCTCCATCATCACTCCAAGCTCCTCTACCTTTTGGCTGATAACAGCCTTAGAAAGAAAAGACAGTCCCAGGGCAGGAACGCTGTCCGTTTCTGGGGTGCTGCAAGGAGAAAGGAGGCTGTTACAGTGGGGAGGATGAGTGGTTTCCTTCCCAGTTCAACATCAGTCTTGCAGGAGTGAGAAGTGAATGGGCCTGGAGAGATGGGGTGTTCCCGGGAACACCCGGGTTCCCGGGATGTTTCTGGGGCAATAACCCCTTCGGAGACGTGTGAGTTCGTGGTGGGAGCGTGTCCCCCGCCGCGCGTGTCTGACCACAGCCAGCTCCTTGTTTCCACCAGGGATGAGTTTCCCGCTGATGTTTCGCTTGGCATCAAATGTGTCTGAAAGAGAAGCTCACCCCTGGCAGCAGTGCCAAGAAAAGACTGGGTAGCCCGGGTCACCCAGTCTAGGCACACAGAGACGCATGAGAATGCCAGAAAACCCGCTGATCTCCAGTTTTCCTGCTGTGCTGGGTGTATCCGCAGGGGTTGTGCCCCCGCCGCTCGCTTCCACCCTCCCTCGTCTGCCTGGACCACGTAACGGAGGCCGAGGTGAAGCTCAGCCCCGAGCGCGTGCGTAAGCAGAGCCGCGCTCCGAGCGCAGAGCAGAGGCGTCTGCGCAGCCCCGCAGCCCTCCGAGCGCATCCGTGGCCCTGAGCGGGTCGCGGTGACCTGCGCACGGGAGTCCCCGGGATATCCTGTGACCCGCCTCGCTGTGCCACCTCCCTCGTGTCCCCACACGTCGTTTCCTCGGCGGTTTCGGCGGATGCAGAGGCGCTGGGAGCAGAAAGCCGAGCGGTGCCGCGTGTCCCTGGCAGATGGCAAACGTATCCTCTGACAGCGGCGCTTGTCACCGAGCCCAGCCCTGCTCCTCTGGCACTGACTCAGCCCTGAGGATCCTTCACATCTCCAAGGTGACTCTGCTTGGGAGCGAGGATGAGTTCTGTGAATTTGCCTGCATTCGAAGACACTCGCTTGTGCGGGTCCCTGGGAGGTTTTTGCATCAGGGTTCACTAACACTCTTGCTGTTGTACAGTCAGACAGCACCACGAGCTGCGGGTGTAAACCAGGACACGACAGTGACACCCACAAAGGAGAGCTGGGGCCTGGGCGGGCACTGGGCATTGCCCTTCCCGAAGGAAGGTCCCACGTGCATCCATGAGCACAAGTTGGACATTCAATCCCACGTTGTCGCAGGCTGCTGCAGGCCCGGCCTGTCTGAGCCCTCAGAGAGAGGGTCACTTCAGTGACTTGATCCAGCAGCAACGGAGCCCAGCAATAAAACAAACCCACCAGCAACAACAACAAAAGATTTTTCCTTCAGATCAATCCACGCGAGAAACATAAATTCTGTATGCGTGAGGAACAAGACTTGGGGGGAGCTGGGGACTTCTCAAACCAGCCCGAAGCTGAGCTGGGTTAAAGGCAGTGTCAAAACCCCTCTTGCATGGAGGGCTGTATTTTTCCACTGCCGACCTGACCGTAACTGCCTGCATAATGGGGATCCATTATAGTACCAGCTGCGGCTCTATTTAGAAGGGAGTGATGAATATTTTGTTCCAACAGGCTTTTGAAATGAATGGGGACCATCTGCTTAAAAAGTTTTGCTCTCAGCTGTGTCATGATTCCCCAAAGTTATCACCGAGCACCTCTCTGCCCTGTTCGCGCCAAGCAGGGTTTATTTTTAGGCCTGGCTGTTGAATGGGTCCCAGTTTTCAAAGGCCATTAAAATCTCACTTGCTTTATTAGCAGGCGCCTTGGAAGCAAGGACTCGCTTTTGCCTGGAAACAGTAAAACTTCTTGCTGGTGTTAACAAAGCTGAGGCAGATACTAATGAGGGTTTGAGGGCAGAGGTTGCCTCAGACAACACTGATCTTGGAAAACCACAGAGCTGGTGAGGGAAACAATTGTACTGCTCTTAAAAATAAGCTGTCGCTCCTCTCTTATTAGGTATATGTCCTCAGAGAGCCATTTTAAAGCTCCAAAGCACCGTTTACTCTGGTATTGGATACTCTCTGGTACTTAGGGGAACAATTTTTATTTTTCGCTGTCAAACTGTTTGACTGCATTGATTTTTTTGGTATTACAGCAGCAGCAGGTCACAGGCGAGACGAGGATCTTTTTTTCCCGGGTGTCTGCACACAGGACCTGCATAATATTACTGAGTTCTGAGGAAGATATGGGGGTTTAAACACAGTGAGAACTTGGCCTGCTGCTTGGTAATGTTTTAATGCTGCCTAAGCCATGGGATAGGTACTAAGGTAACTGGAGCATGTGCTGGAAATCAGGGAATGAGTTTGCCCCGATATGTACGCAGTCTGTCTATCTGTGTCCATTTTATTAGGAGAGATAAATTACGTTTGTGTAGGTAGATAACAGGTGGAAAAGGTTCCTAGTGAATTCCAGTTGGAGCTCTGAGCGCATTGGAAATTACAGTCACCTTAGTGGGGCAGGAGAAGTGACCAATGTCTCTGTTTTGTGCCCTCTGCAGCATGGACAAGGACAGCCAGGATGTTCACCAGGTGCTGAATGAGCTCAAGAACAAGTTCCAGGAGATGAGGAAGCTGATCAGCTCCATGCCTGGCATCAGTGTGAGCCCAGAACAGCAGCAGCAGCAGCTGCAAAACCTCCGGGAGCAGGTCCGGACCAAAAACGAACTGCTGCAGAAGTACAAGAGCCTCTGCATGTTTGAGATCCCCAAGGAGTAGAGAGGGAGCAACCCTGCTCTCTGGGTCTGAGCTGCTTCCCGTCCCGGAGAAGGCGGCAGGAGTTTAACTTTTCTTGGGTTTATCCTTTTTTGTCACATTGCTCCAAACCTGTGTCGATGTGGATCACAGCCGCGTGACTGTGGGGAACACTGTGTGCTTCACACGCGATCATTACAGCAGCACATTCACTTTGATCTGCTGTAGGACTGTGTGTGTTTATGCATGCATCTCTCCTGTTTTCTCTTTTTTTCTTCTTTTTTTTTTTTCATTCAAGCAAGCAGGAAGCATTATGTTTTCTCTGTGCTAAGGGGCAAATTACCTGCTTCTTAACAAGAAAAAGAGGGGTGTTTTCGGCAATTTTTCTGCCTTTTTCTTTTTTGTTCTTGTCATTACTTCTGAACTGACAAACATGGCCAAACTTCAGAGGGAGCAAGAGAGGGAAGCATGAGCTGTTTGGCCCTGCTCCTGGAAAGCAGAGGGCACTGGGTCTCTGGAGGCACTTTGCAGTCCGTGCATGTCGAAAGAGGAACGATTGTTTTCAGCTGCTTTTGTAGTTCTCTCTTCCTCTATCCCTCTCTCTTTTTTAAATATTTTTGTCAATAAATGATGGTTGTATCTAAGATGAGTCATGAGTCAAGTAAAGATGTAGAAACTCCAGACTGCCCCTTTTTTGTGTTTGGCCTGAGCGGATATGGGCTGAGCAAGGGGAGGTCTTGGGCAGCACAGGGGAAATGTCATGAGCTGGGCCCAGCCCCTGTGTCTTTACGCTGGTTTTATGGAAACGGGGTGACTTAAGAGACCTAAGCACAGACTGAGGAGACCTAAGTGAATTTCAACAGACCCAGCTTGGTAGGCAGTGCCATTGGGCACCTTATTCTTAAAACAGAGGAAGGAAAATCAAAGTAAATGGCGAGAGCTGTTAGATTTTCCATAAATGACCAAAGCTCACCACAACCACAGGTCAGCTCCACATCTTAGCAGCTCCAAGGGCTTTTGGCAGATGAACAGAGTTCATGAACAAGCGTTTCACTGTCAGCTGCTCATGGAAAACCCTTTAAAGTTGTACCATGTCCAGAGGGACCCTGGACTCCCTGCCCTCTGCCCTGCTCAGCCTTAAGCTGCTGCACTGTCAGATGACAACCTGGTAAGCAGCACTGCTGACTAACCAGACGTAAAGGGCCCCTGAATCTCTCATTTTGAGCATGAGTGTGTGCTGCGTTGGTTGCATCTCAGATGTGCCTGGGACGTACAATTCTGTGAATTACGCTGAAGGACTGTGCAGGTCAGTGCAATGCAATTTTCCTCCTGATGCAGAAAACCAGGCTCATGATTTAAGATCATGTTCTATTTTCAGATCTCTGACACATTCTGGAGATGCTCACACAGCTGTGTGGGGAATTTAAGACAGCTAGAGCTAGACTAGACTCAGGTGGGTTTGTGGTCCTTAGGCTGGAAACTGCAGCACTGGAAGAAGTGAAAAACTGGTTAGTGAAAAAATATCCATGGAAAACTGGCATCCAAGGGGAGGTAAAATCCATTTGCTTCCTCCAGAAGAAGAGAAGCAAAGTCTGTTCAGGTAGATTTTCCTCTTCAAAGCCAAAAGATAAGTAATCCTGCTTGGCAAGGCCTGGGATAGTTGTGACTCACCTGTTGCCTAGAGGTAATTTTGTCCCTAGGGAGCTACTAGCAATTTCTCTGGGAAGGAGCCAATGTGTAAAGTTCTGTCTAAGCAAAACAGAACACTAAGATATACAAAACACAATGTACACTCTTTTTATGGCTGAAGTTACCTTTCTGCTGGCCATTGCCCGTCCCAGTTCAATAAATTCTTCTGTCAGTTGCCAGGAGGGAGGTTTCCTTTTCTTGCCAAGCCCTGTTCCTGCAAAGTCAGGGCTTACACTGAAGAGCTGGAAGAAAACAAGTGCTTCCAAAGAAACGCGCCTTGCCTTTAGCACAGGAGCAAGTTAACTGTTGACTTGAATTCAAGTTTCAAGCCAGACTGAAATGGTTTTATTTGCACTCTCACTTGCTCAGCCCAGTTTTGTGGCCTCAGTAGAATTTTCCTCCATTAATATGTATTAAATATAGGTTTATTCTGCCCCTCAGGAAGGGATAAGGGGTTGAGAGAAACAACAGGCTACATCTGAAAAGCTGGACCCAATGAAAGGTGATTTTTGAAGAGTTTTCCCTTTTCCCTTTCACTTCTAGGAATGGTTATGGTAAGTTACACTAAGAGATTAAAAACCATCATATGCAAAAGTGACCTTTTGAGCAAAGTACTTCCTTTACTCATATTGCAAAGTATCAACAATGTCCTGGACGGGGTGCAGATGAATCAGTCTCTGTTGACATCATTAAAGTTTGTTTATTTAGTCAGGGGGAGAAAGCATGAAACACAATAAGCGCTTTATTATTAAATGATGTCATTTTACTCCGTTTCTGCAGGGAACGACATGCCAATGCCCAGCCTGTCACAGAGCTGACGGAATTGTAAATCAGTGTTATTCGGTGAAGTGAGGAGGGAGTTCTGGCTCGGTGAGAGCTGCTTGAGTAACAGCTTGCGTGGCCCCTAATTACCCTGTGTGGCAACAAGTCGGGGACTTTTGGAGGCAGAGACCTTTGCACAGGGGACAGGAGAAAGTGATGTAACCCGGTGCTGGGCTGAGAGGCCACATGCAGAGCGTCAGAGCCCGGCTCAAGGAGCTTTGATCTGTGCCGTGGGGCTGGGTGAGGGAGCAGAGACGAACCCACGAGTATCATTTTAAAAAGCTTTTATTGTTTTGTAGAAAAAATAAAACATCAAGTTTCACCCACGGTAGAAACACTTGAAGATTTTTTGTTCATGTCTGTCACAGACAATACCTACATAAAGTGCCTATTTTCATTAAAAAACAAAATACCCAACCCTTCCCACCCCCTCAGCCCCCCCAATCTTGCAATCAAACAAGACATATGTAAACAAGAGTCAGGTTTTGGTCCATCCGGGCTGTAACTCTGCAACGTCTTTGCCACTTTGAGGAGTGTCTCCCGCACGTGTTTTTTGCAGACGCAGACGAACACAGGACACAGAGCCAGAGTCCGTGCACAGCTTCTCAAGTAAAACGAAACAAAAAGCCCCCCGAGGCCACGCAGGCCGTGGTGGGTCTCTGCTCAAGGCAGTGCCCTGGCCTCAGGCTGGATGGTTTGGGGGGGAAAGAAGCAACAAGAAGGTCAGTCCCCCCCGCACACATCCGCAAGGGCCAGAATTTGCCCTTACTCTGGAGGGCGGATGTCCCAGCAGCAATATCCCCCCTCCTGCCCTCCGAATCTGCCTCCCTCTCCCAAAACACCCCCGGGGAGGGATCCCTCCGGAGGTGGGAGGCTGGGGAAGAGCCTGCCCGCCCTCCCATCCTGCCCAAGTCCCTTAGGAAGGGAGCGTCTCTCCCCGCCTGCCTTCCCGGTGGCGCGGCCGCGCTCCTAGCTGATCACGCAGCGCTCCTTCTCCTTGGCGTGCCCGCCGCCGATGGCTTTCTCCCGGATGTACATGAGGTCGCTGTGGACGCTGGGCCGCCGCGCGAAGGGAGCCACGATGCCGTAGGCTTCGTCCGCGCCGCCCCGGCCCCCTTCCTTGAGCAGCTTTTTGCCCTTGAGCCCCTTCTTGTGCAGGATGTCGCAGTACTGCACGGAGACCTTGCGGTGCAGGTCCGGGCTCATCTCGCTGGGCAGCTTGGCCATGGCGAAGAGCGCCTGAAACATCTGGTCCAGGCTGCTGTTCTTCTTGGCCGAGATCTCGAAGTAGGCGCATCGCTTGGGGTCCCCGCCGACCAGCTGCTCGATCTCCCGGGGCTCCACCTCCCGGTAAAAGTCCCGGTCGCCCTTATTGCCGCAGATGACCAGGGGCACCTCGATGTTCTCCTTGGTTTTGTTCTTCAGGCACGACTTGGTCTCCAGGATCTGCTGCTTCAGGCGCTGCACCTCCTCGAAGGAGTCCCGGTTGTCCAGGCTGAACACCAGGATAAAGACATCGCCTGGGGACAGAAGGGGGACATGAGATGGGTGCAGAGAAGGGGACAGGCACAGGAACCCCCCAGGAGGAGACACAGAGGGATGCAGTGCCCAGTGGCTTCCTGGTCACCCATGCAGGGAGTGAGGTTGTCAACTTTGCACACACACACACACGAAATCCCAACTCCCTCCACCCACAGCTGGGAAAACACCCCCAAACCGGCCAAGGAACCCTGAAACCTGGCAACCACAATCCCCTCCCTTCCCCTCGGGACTCTCCAGCCAAGTACCTGTGAGGATGGAGAGGCGGCGCATGGCCGGGAAGGGGTGGTTGCCCGACGTGTCCAGGATGTCGAGCTGGTAGACCTCGCCGCGGATGCTGTAGAACTTGCGGTGGAAGTCCTCGATGGTGGGGGTGTACTGCTCCTCGAAGCGCCCCGTGAGGAAGCGCGACACGATGGCCGTCTTGCCCACCTTGGAGGAGCCCAGGATGACCATGCGGTAGCAGTTCTTGGCGGGGATGCTCAGCTCGGCCTCGCTCGGACACATCTTCTTGATCATCGCTGCCAGTTTCATTGAAGCCGGCGGAGGGTGCAGCTTGTCCTGAGAGAGGAAGAGGAGGAGGACGGCGGTGCCTGCCCGCTGCTCAGCCCTGCGCCCTCGCCCCTGAGGCCGCTCTGAGCTCCGCGCCGCCACCGCCGCCCGTTTTATGGGCCCGGCAGCGCC